TTGCCGCCTTTGCCCTGGGGTGGTCGGGTGCGGGTGAGCTCTGCCCTGCCCGTGGGCGAATCCTGCGTCCCTCTCGTCTGCGGCGCTGGCCGGGGGCAGAAGGGTGACGGGAAGCGGATGGCAGAGCTGCAGGGTTTGTCGGGCGATGGAGGAGTTTAATCGCAGCAAAGTCTGTCTTCCAATTACGGTAGGTGGCTGCACTTATTATCATTATGACAGATTATCAGAGAGCAATTCTGTAGTGGCAGGGGAGACAGAGGGAAGATTGATTACATATTAATTAGCTCTCAAACCCCATCCCTGAGGATTTTTCCACCCAGGATTACTGATGAGATGAAATTCCTCCTCGTGTACAGTGCAGCCCCTGCACGAGTTATGGCCCGGTCGCTGCAGCCCTCCCTGCTCCCACCTGTAGTTCCCAGCTCTCCCTGTACTTTGGCATCCATTCTGTACTGGGACAAAAGAGCAGAGGCTTTTGCTCTTGATCTCAAGGGACAAAGGGTTTTTTCCCTTCCCATGATACTCAAACATGCACAGGCACCTCCAGGGCTCGGACAGCTTTTTTCACCTTTTCTTCTTTCAGGTTTTGATGGTCATCTGGTTTCCATTGTGCTGAGCCCCACAAGTAAAAGGCAGCGTGGGTGTTAACAGAGCCCCAAAGCCTTCCCTTGCCCCAGCACTGTTTAACCCTCCCCATGCTTGGAGGTCCCCCCTGGGCTGTGGAAGCTGGAGAGGCTCAGGGCTGCAGCTCAGCCTCTGGAGAGCAAAACCAGTCCTGAGCTGAGCTGGGAGTCGCCCTCAGCCAAATGCTCTTGAGCCTGAAAAGCTGCCCCGGGGGTGTCTTCCAGGGGACGGCTACTACCTGGCTATCGGCGGGGCCGTGGCGCAGCACAACTGGTCGCACATCACCGCTGTGCTGCAGGACATGAAGCTCCAGTGCAAACTCCTCGACTGCTCGGAGGAGCTGGGCATGATGAGCATCCAGGGCCCCCTGAGGTGGGTGATGCATGGTGAGCATCCAGGCCCCCTCCTTCCATCCTGATGCCTGGCCCATGGAGAGATGGAGGGAGGGATACAGGGATGGAGGGAGGGATACAGGGATGGAGGGAGGGATACAGGGATGGAGGGAGGGATGGATGGAGGGGTACAGGGATGGATGGAGAGAGGGATACAGGAATGGAGGAAGGGATACAGGGATGGAGGGAGGGATGGATGGAGGGATACAGGGATGGAGGGGGAGGGATGGATGGATGGAGGGATACAGGGATGGAGGGATACAGAGATGGAAGGAGGGACAGATGGAGGGATGCCAGGACCAGGTGTGAGCCCCATGGCACCAGGCAGTGGTCTGGCTGGAGTGATGCTCCATTTGCTGGGGAACTGGAATTTCTTTCGAGGCTCTCGCAACATGGCATATCGCCCACGTCAGCTCGCATTTGGAGGGAGAGGTCTGTCTTGCCAACAAGATGAGAAAGTAAGTTTTAGCAATAGCCTGAGCAAGCTGGCAAGCTACCTCCTTTCACCGTGGCCGCTTTGCCATTTCCCCACAGCCGCGTCGTCCTCCAAGAAGTGCTCGACACTGACCTCAGCAACGAGGCCTTCCCCTTCTCCACGCACAGACTCGCCACGGCAGCAGGATGCACGGTAGGACAGGGCCAGCCCTCCAGCTCCAGGGAGGGCTGTTCGCCGGGGTGACAGCCTGCGCAGCCGAACATCCTCTGCTGGGGACCCTGTCTGCCTCCACATCGCTGCAATGGGCAGCTGGGAGGTTTACTAGGGGTGTTTTTTTTGTTGGAAAAGGCCAAAAACTGGGGTGTTTTCCTCCCCGTTTGCTTGCCAAGTGCCAACCTGTTCTCCCAGCCCACCCAGCAGTGTTGTAGCCTGGACTGAGCTTGGGGAAGGGACATGGTGACTTGCGGCTTTGCAGTGCTGTCAGAGGAACAAGAGACGCCTCCCACAGATTAGGGGCGAGCACTGGTGATAAAGAGATTTATCTGACACTCTAGATCCCCTCCTTTTGCCCCTACTCATAAAAAAAGTAGGGACGATTTAATGCAAAGCCTGTCAAGCACTGGCGGTAAGGGCTGGGCAGCCTGCGGAGCCGGTGTATTTGATCAGAGGAGAAGTCTGACAGCCTTAAGCTCTCTGTACGAGCGCAGATCATCCTGCCTTTGCTCTGACTTCAGGGCTCACCTCAGCAGTTATGCAAGGAAAGCGCAGAAGTGGTAACGCTCCACGCGAACGCCTCGGGCTGAGCCCCTCAGTGTGGCAGGGAGGGGAGGAGAGGCCCTTTGGGGCGATGGTGGAAGCCAGTACGGCTGCCCAGCTTGGGTGCTGGGTGGGGAGTGATGGGTGGGGGGTGCTGGCCGGCTCCTGCCCCCCGACGCGTTGCCTGGGGAGGCAGTGCCGGCGCGGGGTTCTGCAGATGGAGGTGAGCTCGCTTTGCCTGCATGCATGGGGCACGCTGTCACGAGGGCAACCGTCTGTTGCAGCACGGCGGTGCCCGGGGTTTGCTGCGAGGTTTTGCAGTGCTGGCTGCTGGGGTGGGCTCCTCCGTCTCGCCTGGTGCGGGGCAGCGAGAAAACCGCCTTAAATCTCACTCCCACCTTGCCCAGTGGAGGTCAACATGGTCTGAAGTTGTCCCTGGGGAAAAGGCGGTGGCGGCAGTTCTTTGGGAGTTTTGTCATGTGTGAAGCTGCTGGTTTGGCCTGCTTGAAACACCTGAAATAGAAGAGCTGGTGACCATGAATTGTCGCTTTGTCAAAAGAGAAGTGTTCTGGGAAAACCTGCTGCTGGCAAGTTTTGGAATCGGGGAAAAGCTTTTGCAAGCTTTTCTGGAGACGCTCTGCCATGGTTTCTTACCCATGTTTACTCCATGTGAAATATTCCTTCCGTGGCAAAAACACCCCTTTGGGAGAGGGGCTGACTTTGTACCCCATCCTTCCCGTGGGAAATCAGGGCAGGCAGCGGTCCCAGGGCATCGCTCTCCCTCCCGGAGGAGCCGGCCGGCAGAGGGACTGTGCCGAGCGTTTGCTCTGGCTCTTGGGCTGCTGCCTGACAGGAGACGAAGGGGTGAAGGTGCAGTGGTAAATCTTCTGACAGGCAGCAGGAAAACAGGGAGCCGGAGGCAGGCTGGATATTAGCGAAATTGGGTTAAGCCGCGTGCGGACACTTTTCATTCGGAATTAAAGTGGCTTTAATTCGAATGCAGCTGGCTGCTGAAGGGATTGCTGCTAAATCAAATTAAGGCTACTTGATTTGTGAGCAAGAGCCTAGCCAGGGTTTAGGGTGGTTTAACTAAGCCACAGATTTTTCCCAACTCGGTTAATCCCCCAAACCATCACAATCAATGCGCCCTGTGCTCCGGGAGCCGAAAGCCCACCGTGTGTCCTGTCACCTCTGGGGGGAAACAGTGGCACAGGGGACCCAAAAGCCAATCCATTGCTGCAGGTTGCCCAATACGTTGCATTTTAGTCTCCACCGGTGAGTTATAACCCTCCCCACATCCTCCCCTATCATGCCTGTGGCAAGGTGATAACATCTCATAGTAATCTACTTAGCCCCTGGGAAAGGTGTATAAATGTTGCTGTCTTCAACAGCGTGATTACTTTATTTGCATGTCACTTCAAGTTTATAAAAAATAATCTGGTCCTGTGAGGAAGAAATAGCTGGTAGAAATTTTGTGACTTCTTTTGGGTGTAAATGCCCTGACTGTAGGAAAAAAGCTTGGGTGTGTGAGGGCTGGGGGGGGGGGCTCCCTGCCTGCTGCTGGGGCCACCCTTCAGGAGGTCTCCTGCAAGCCCCCAGTGCACGGTGAGCACGGGGGACTCCATCCCACGCCGAAAGTAGGGTAGGAGAGTCTCTCAGGGCAGCAGGCTGAAGCCTTTGCTGATATTATCGCCTTCCAGGGGGCTTAAACCGAACCCAACATCTTTAAAAAGTTATCACTGAGATTTTCACGCATTAACTCAGTAGTTGAACAAAATCAGCTGGAGTGAAAGGAGAGTTCCAGCCGAGTTAATGACTCTGGAAATTACCGATAGGTTTGTGAGTTTATATATAGTGTGTCTCATTGTACTGAACAGCAGAGAAAGGTCCCCCTTTGAATTTCACTGCTGGATACAGGGTAAAGTTCAGGTTTTCATTTTCTAGAATACTTAAACCGCTTTTGAATTGCTGCTGAAAGACCCAGGAATTGATGCTATTTCATAGCTCCAGTTGAAATCTAACACAAAAGCCTGTTCCTAGGGAAATTTAGCAGAAAGCTGGCGGGAGCGGCTGTGCCCAGCCCTTGACGTCCCTCTTGGCCTCTGCGGTGGGGTGCCCACCCCTCCCTAGGGTACGCAGGCGTGGGTGCGACCCCCATCCCCTGTCTGTGCAAAGCTGATGGCTGGCACCCCAATTTTCCTGAGGACACCTATTTTCTGCGATGCGCTGCCCTGCCACACCGCTCTTGCTGGGATGCTCGCTCCCCCGGAGCAAGGCCAGTTTGAGGGGAAGTTTCTCCCCGGAGTAACTTGCTCCTGGAAGTAAAGCGCAGTGTAGCTGCGGTGCTGACTGCTGAGTCGCAGGCAGGGTTAATGAGCCGGGAAGTTGCCGGTCGATCCCCCGAGCATCTCCTACCACGATGAAGATGGCAGCTGGCTGCAGCGGCTTGATCTCTGGCTGTTCCCTAATTAGATGATGCCTTTGTGTGGAGAGAAAAGCTTCTCCGAGCTCCTTGTGTCTGTGCACCTCGAAAAGCAACTGCCAGCCTTTGTGCCTCGCTGCGGGGCTGTGGCAGGGACCGAAGGAAGGATGGCTCCCTGGCACGGCTGCTTGTGAGGAGGCTCAAAATACATTCCCAATACCTATGGCGTTCCTTCCTCCTCTCCACTTCTATTGTAAAGGTGAAAGCAGCTCAAAAGCTGCCTTAAACTCTGCTTGAGGATGTTATTTCTGCAGTGCCAGCAGAGCACAGGGCTGTTGGGAGATGCAAGGATGGATGTGGGTTCTCAGCCATTGCCCGCTGGCCGTCCTCGCGGCGGAGAGCCCGGGCACCCCTTCGGTACGCCTCATGCCTGTCGCTGCCTCTTTTGGGCTGTTGTCTGTTGTTGTTTCTACCTGGGATTGGAGAACACAGCTGGGCCCAGTTCCTGGCTGTAGTAAGAGCTCAGCAAACCGCGAGATGCAGCTTCTGCCCCCGTCGCATCCAGAGCCAGCACGGGCAAGACAGCCCCAAAGCTGCGGAGTGCGCCCGGCCAACAGAGCCAGCCTGGAAGTCTCTTCCTAGCTGAAAACTGCTTTATTAAGATGGCAGATCACAATCTGGCATGAAAGTTGAGCTAATCTCTGTCCCAAAGCGAGGTACGCATTTGCAGTTGATGTGCATCTGAAGGGATGAACCAGAGGAGGTTTTGTGGGGGAGGAAGCCGAGAAATCCAAAGGGATGAAGCAGAGAGAAATGCAGCTCAGACTCAGGGGTTATCTCCAGGGAAGGTGCCCAAACCGGGGTAGCCCCAACGGGCCTGGAAAGCTTTGGGAATACAGACTGTTTCGGTATGGACAACAGGGAGTGCAGGCAGGCAGGCATATCTCCGAGGATAGGGCTTCCCTCGAGAAGCACCGAGTCCCCTGTGCTGCTCTGCTCGTTCCTTCATGCATTTGGTGTGGAGCTAATTTGGCAGCAGAGAGTGATGCTTTGGGGCACAACCTCTGCTGAGGGAAACCTGAGCATCCCCGTGGGGCAAGTGGGCCATGGCTCAGGACGCTGGGCTCAGCTGCTGCCCGGGAACGTAGGGCCTTTGGGTGCCTCTGCCGTGGGAGCACCATCCCAAGCAGGGACATCCCTGGGGGACAGCAGCCACGGAGTGCCCCAAGGCAGGACAGTCCTGCTGGGGACCAGCTTCCCAGTCCGACGGGCTGATGTGGGGAGACACAGGGCTGGAGGTGCCCATGGGCTTCCTTCTGGCGTCGGTGGATCAGCAGAGGGAGACAAAAGCTCGGCTGGAGCTGGAGCATCACAACTAGCCCCAGCCTGGCTGGTGCTACAGCCCGGGGATCGGTGGCCGGAGGATGCTGAACGCAGCCCCCTCCACCCGCTGACCACCCCTCCTGGGCGCTGAGAGAGCTCGGTTTGAGGTGCCAAACTTAGGTTGTCCAGAGATGAGGAATTCCATCTGAACCCCAGCTTTGTGCGTGAGGAAGAGCAAAGAAATGCCTTCCACCAAAGCAGAGCGTTGGCGCAAGGCTCCCAGGCCAAGCTGGCTTTCCCCCCGCCATGGCAGCGTGCGGCTCTGCAGCCTCTGCCGCGCTGCGCAGCCCGGCTCCGTCCGCACCCGTCCCTGCCCTCCTGCC